CGGCGGCGCAGGTCCTCTCTCCTGCCACGCCTTCTGCTACCCTCACGAGCCCCCACCTTCCTCCCCTTCCGTGGGGTCTTTAGCCCTCTCCTCACCCGGGTCCCATTGGCTGCGACCCCGCTCCCCCTTTCACTCATTTCTTACCAACTCTATTTCTTTGTTTTTTTCTACCCCTACCCCCCACCCCGTGGCGTGTTCTCCTTTTCTCGTGAACGTCGCCGCTGGCGAGCAGCCGGATTGCCTCACTAAAATCGAGCGCCTTACCTTGCATCCTACCCCCGGCTGCAAGTCACTCCCCGAAGAATTAGCCAGCAGAACGCAAGCTACGCTCGAACGCTCTTGCCCAGGCTACTACCGAAAGCAGGTAAGCCAACGTAAAGCACTCTCGGTTTTTGGTGTGTGTTTTGTTTTGTTTTTAATCTTGGCGCTCACCTTGAATTAAAGAGGCGCTATTCGTGCAGGGCAGAAGTCTGTGGTTTTTATTCAGGTTCTATCTTTTGGAGAGCAAATGAGCCAGAGCTGTAGATGGTCAGTTAGTCCTAGGTTGATACCTCGACCGAAACCCACTTATTTCTAGGATTCTGATTCTTCTTACAGAATTACGGTTCGGCGAGTGTTGAGCCTCCAACATCAGAATGTCACCTGGCTGCCTGAGCATGGGACATTATTGGCCAAAATGCCAATTCCCAGGGACCCAACCTAGACCTTCAAAATCACAGTCCCTGTGTATGGAAGGGCTTCTTATGAAATTTTTGCCCGTTCTACAATTTGAGCAGCATTACGTAGGTTTATCACTTAATAATTGTGCGTTCTTTCTTAAAATGATAAATCATACATCAGAGCTTTACCCTATGTTTGCTTAATTGCTTGTCTGGGTGGTATTGCTGCCTCTTTACATAGTGGCTTTTGCATGTGCAGTCACATGCATTTGAATGAATGCGTAACTTTAAATATGGAAACAGTAGTAGAGAGTTAGGAGCGGGAAGTCTGGAGACAGTCTTGCCTAACTTTGAATCTAGCCCCATAACTTTTAACAGTGAAAACTTGGATAAATTACTTAGCCTCTGTGTGCTCAATTTCTTCTGCAGAATGAGGATCATATTAACAGACCCACATAGAGTGTTTATAAGGATTAAATGAGTCAATATTAGTAAAAGCACTTGGAATGGTGCCTGGCATGCAACTAGTACTAAGAATTTATTTCAGCATGGAAGTGAAGCAGAGGATTTATCTTCTGGATGACAAATTTTAAAAAGACAAAGAGAAACAAGTGCAGAGATGTATGATCGCTGTCTATTAACCAATGGACTTTATCAGTCTGCACACTGAGTAGTCTGTGTGGCCAAGGCTGTCACTTTTTTAGGGATTGGAGATTGAAACCATAAGGTGAGTCTGGCTACATGTGAAAAACTGGTTTGGTTCTATGCCTTCTATCAAGGAGACTAGTAAATCTACTGATGGCCACAGTGAAGTTTATCCATATAAGGAGAGCATAGAGAACAGGCTAGGTCAAGTTCTGGATAGTAAGAAAGGGAGAGTCTGGAGTACTTTTTAAAAATTTATGATTTAGCAAATTTTAAATTGTAAGATTTTTGCTTATAACCTGGTAATCTTTCTTGACCCAAATGTTGTGTATCTAGGAGGTCCAGTCAAGGTCACTACTCAAGAGTAATTTAGATAGAGGAAAACACTAAAATATCATTGCAATCTTTTTTAAGTTTAGGCTCTCTTCCGAAAAAACTTCAGGTGTCTGTGGCACAACTCAGTGGTAGAAGGGACTGAAGGCAGGAGAATTTTGAATTATATCTGTAAAGAAGATGTAGATATGTCCTATTTTAGAGGAACTTACGATCTTGTCAAGGAGATCATGAAGTCATCGACCTATTCACTTATTTACTTATTCAATGTGTCCTGTGTATAAAACATTCTGCTCAGCACTGTGGGGAATACCCATGATGCAATAATAAATTTAAAAAAAACCATTTAAGTGAGAGCCAAGTTAAATTAAACACACTGTGAAACACTAGAATAGTTTCTAACAGAAAGGTCTGAGCAATCAGCAGTAGCCTGGCAAAGGAGGTGGTGCTTGGCCTTGATGCATGAGTAAGTGGGTGGAATAATGGGAGGGAATTCCTCTGTAGAAAGCACAGAGGCCCAGACAGTAAGCAGGTGTTAGGAGAATACATTGAGAAATGGGTTTGCATAGAGAAGACAATGTAACCTGCCATTAAAGATAATGACAATTAATTTTAATTACTGATTCTCTTATTCCACAGAAAAATAATGCCCAGGCAATGAAGAAAAGAAAGAAAAGAGAAGACACAATAAAAGGATGCCAGAAAATAGTCTCAAACTTAATAGGATTGTGGCGTCGTTTCATGCGTCTTTAATAGAAACAAAGTGAACCTTCATTGAAGTCATATTTCACAGCAACAAAAATATCATCCTTATTAGGTAGAGGGAATGTTAATTCTGTGACATTTAAAAGATCACTACTAATTATTTTTTTAATTACAGAAGGGTTTCTTAACTTATTTTTGTAAGCTTTTATTGTTTAATATTGGTTTATAATGTGGGGGAGATACTACCCCTCAAATGTCAGGGAGACTTCAGTAGCATTGATGTCTGAGCCACTGGCTTTGTGATAGTAATTCTCAGCTGGAACTACCTAGGCCTTACTCAAGAGAAGAATCTAAATGTATAGGAGAAGGAGAACTTTTTCGCTTCAAAAAGAAAAAAAGTTGAACTCAAGAGCAAATGAGCCTCTGTTGAAAGGCAGGCATTTCTTTCATACTAAAAATTTACAAAAGAAGGAAATACGTAGAAGCAAAACGGTACACACAAAAAGCTGGACATATAGTGGAGAAATTTGAAAGAATTTCATATTGATATTGTGAAAATAGTTTCAGTTAAGTTTTAAAAATTATGTAACAGATAAGAGTGGTATATGCAAGCAGATCTTGAAGAAGTACATTTATTAAAGCTAAAATAATATATATTTTTAAACTTATGGAATACATTTTTAATTTATTGTATAAGCACTTTATTTTTTTATTAAATTTATTGGGGTGACATCGGTCAAAATGAACAGTAAGCACCTTTTTAAATGTACATATTGTTTTGTTATTGACATGATACATTTCTTAATAAAATAATTCTCAAATTCATTTCTTATGAATGTGTTATTTTATGTAGCTAGATGATTTTCACCTACACGTTTTTGAGGGGCTTC